CGGACGAGAACCAAGCTTCATAAACATTGTTTGACTTGCTTTGGGCGTTTCTACTTGAAATCCTCAAGACCTGATATTTTGCCTTCCTAGGCACTGCTGTAGAGAGCGTGACATTTACGACAGATCCTCCCCCTTCTTTTTTCGTGTCACTGAAATTTTTCTACATTTTTTAGTTACTGATCAGGCAGTCGCTCCCCGAGGCACTCCGCACACTTTTATATCGTTAGCTCTCTAGAGCGTGAAGGTCAAGATATCAAAAGATATACCGAGTATCTAATCTTCGTATGCTATTCGCTTTTCCTGTGTCAGATCGATGATTGAGCTGCAATTTTCACGTCAAACACATTGGGCAGCATAATATAACTGTGTAGCTGCTCTTTGTCAAACTTTTCAAAAGACTTGACGTTTGAAGCCTCATGATTGGTCGTAGTGACATCTTGGTATCTACGTAGATAAGGTCCCGGTACAGCTTGCCAGCAGCGATCGCTGCGCTATGGTCTTGATGTAAGCCTTCTGCAAAATTCTGAATATAGCCACGAGAAAACAATATATTACCTAGTTGTGATAGCAGAAACTTGTTCACAAAAAAACATTATTAGATGAGCCCTACGCACTAGAAGATCTACAGCTCATGACACCACTAATAGTGCTACTGATAGGCAAAGGCTGACAAGTCTAGAAAAGACAGACCTTCGGTAAAGTATATTATACATGTAAATTCTAGATAGTATGTCACAAGCTTACGACTAACGACTTGGTCAAACCGTGACTTCTATCACAGAAGTTATTCTGGCACATTTACTGAGGATTCCGGGGTCAGTATTGGCGTCCGAAGTTGACATATTGAGTGAAAAAATATTTTTAAATCTTCCTTTCAACCCCGTTGTCGCCCGCGAACTGAAGCTCATATCACGACACTATCGTCATCCTCTATCGGTATGTCTTCTTCACTGTTGCTTCTCGAGCCACTCTGCAGCTCTTTGATGCGTTTGACCATAACCTTGGTCGTGGCTCATTGACCCAGGGTCGCCAATGCTGTTCACAATAATGTTTTGGTAAGCTGGTTTTCGAGGCCAGTCTTACTGGGAATTTCGTCGTTGCTGTCGCTGTCATTGATCAAAGGCGAATCCTTCAATCTTGCCCCTGAAATTGCGAGTGTGGGATCTTCACTATCCTCCGACGACCGGGATATACCATCGCTATCTAATTCGTCGACAGATGCCTTTTCTTTGGCTTCCTCAGATGAAATATCATCGGTCGAGTCAGAGAAGATGTCAGAGTTATCAAAGCGAGAGCTACTAGCGTCCGAGCCGCGTTCATTTGCGAAGGTGTCAAGGAAGTTCTGCATTCCACTTCGATGACTGTCAATCAATGCCAGATTCTTCTCTTTGTCCTCCGATATCCATGATAGGTCGTCACTATCCAGGTCACTGATAAATGTGTTTTCCTTCCTTTCCTTCGAAAAGACCCCCTTATCTCCGTTGCCTTCACTGTCAAGATGCCAAGACTCATCATCTTTAGGAAGTCCGCTAGAATCAGAGTCCTGATTTATATGAAGGCTGTCAATAATGTCCTGCAGATCAGCCACGCCACTGCCGCTACCAATCAGTGACATAATTCTAGTTTTTAGGTCGTTACTTTCAATGCTATGGGTTTGGCGGCCAAGAAAGTCGGCGCGATCGTTAACGAGTTCATCCTTGTCGCCTTTGTCATCATTCTCGTCGACGTCAAGCGAGTCGAAAGTCGAAAAATCGGAGTCATTACTGTCGGAGACGTCCTGAGCTTGCGGGTCCGATGAACGTAGGTACATCTGGTTGCCAGCGGTGACATTATTATAAGCGAGTGCCGCGAAAATAAGGCCAGCAGCAAGCTTCATTTTTGGAAGGGTGATGCAACGGATTTCTCCTTAACTTCGTGAAATGAAAATTAGTGAATTAATCTGTTATATGTTGTAGGATTCAGTATATTCATTACTCTTGGTAGAAAGAACAGGGCGCTCCCATCCCAAGATCATGCCTAAAAACATACTGTGGCTTGATCTTAGGATGGGATCCCATAGCTCTGAAAGATAATTAGCACCACTTTCCACCAAGCAGATAGATACAGCTACTCGGCATTTAAAGCTCTCACATGAAACGTGCATTACCTCTCACAAAACTTGCTATAAAAGGTATGCTTAACTCCATAAAATCCTCCTGGCTATGACTAAATACTTTCAATCCATAAGCGTACGCTATAGGATGGTGAGAGCAATTAAGTCTTCTTGTCAATGTAGTCATCACCTTACCGCGCGTTGTGAAACTTTGTAAATAGCTCGTCTAGAATTTATGCAATAAAACAGCATAGCAAGCCTCGCATAGATTATTGAGATAGTCGAGTTTAACAATTATGAAATTATAGCTTTACGACCTGGTTTCGGACCTGAAAGTTACTATTTGAGAGAGGTTCTCATCCAGGGTGTGTCCACCACAGTTTCGCTAAGACTTAATAGTCCAGATATATTCCTTGCTCGCCTGTATAAAACACAAATTATTTTATGTGAAGCGGTATTTTTACTGTCCAGACAAATTATAAGTGCTTCACTTTAATCCTTATCGCTAGTTCCATCATGTTCATGCATGCAGGCATTTACAATTTTTAGAACTATGGAGCGATAGTTGGAAATGTTCACTGTGGCTTTCCGGTTATCAACAGCACAACAACACATCGAGATGTATAATCGTATGTAGAAGATTGGCATCATACTACACATGTACCTCTTATACTTTAAATTCTTCTTTACTTGACGCCATGTATTCTATCGTTTAGGAACTGTAACTACTGCGTCAACATTGCAACCAGCGAAATCAGTGAAACACTAGTGCCCCGAATAAGAGAAGTGCTGGAACGAATGAATTTAAACAAAGTATGGTAGGTCTGACATTTTACGTTTTGCTTAGAAGTAAGTTGTCGAACCTACAGTACTCATACATTTTGCAAGAGCTTCGAGTTTTGTATGTATCTATGAGCATATGTCCATCAACAAAGCATGTTTATATATGCGCATATACCCATCCACACGGCTTATCTGCCAAGCACACGATAGAATGAACGAAGGACATATTGTGCCTTCAAGCTAAGCACATGCGCTCGTATCACTATAAGCAATTATGAACTCATTGCGAGCAGACGATTAATTTCAAGTCTGATACATTCGACGCTAGAAGAATGACTGAAAACGCTTCGTGCGCTATTGATGTAGAGGAGTGGCAAAATTTTTGATTGTAATGTCAGTAGTGCACTCCTGAAATCCCTATAATGTAAGGATCGTTCGCACTTATGGGGTTCTGAACGGTAGTTGGCGAATTTAGAATCGTTAGACTGATTCCTGCGATATATGTAAACTACCCTTTTTCTTCCTACTGTTTCTTGTATGCCTGTTTTCTCCAAAGACGCTGAATAATTTGAAGCTGATCCGCTGAGTCATTGTTCACAAACTTGGACGCTCTGGGATATGACAACTAAGAACTTTATCTGGTGTTGGTTCATATTTTGACAACACATCAACATTGAAGGTGGATTGATTTTCTTCATGCTTTAAAAGAACTTGAGTTTTGCCACGTTGGGATTTATCATCTAGATGATTTCGGAAAGCCCAGCTTTTCTTGCTGCAAACTTCGCTCTTTTGTTTTCAAATCTTAGGCAGCATGCTTGAGAGATATTCCTCGAGTATCTAGCATGACTGGATCTCCTGCTTTGAATTCAGTCCGGTTAACTATTCTTTTCTGATCATGGTATTGCTTTTGAGTGGCTTGAGCTTTGAGTAGATTCCTCCGATCTTGCTCAATTATATCTTTTTACACAAACTCCATTGTCACCTGTACATCAATTTTCACTTTCGCATCATTTAACCTGAATCCTTTTTGCCATGGAGAACGTTCCTTGCTCCCGATATCAATCTCAAAGAGAGAATATCCCGTGGATGCGCTGACAAGTGTCGAGTGAGCATATTCCATGGTGCCTAAGAATTCTGTACCAAGTGCTTTTTCAACGACTAAGTTTTGTCGCTCAGTTTGTCCATCAGCTTGAGCTCGATGTGCTGTTGTCATACTGTGTCGAACACCCATGATTGTCATCAGAGATTTCCAGAATGATGAAGTGAACTTGCTATCTCTGTCACTGATGATAACTTCAGGTAAGCCATGGTGTCGAGCTACAGCTTCAAAGAATGATCTGGCTGTTACAGGTGCGTCATCATTCGCATGCGCTGCAGCGTTTTTGACGAATTATTTGCTATCATTTGCAATGTTTTCTAATTATACAATTGCGCAACTCGTAAGAACGTTCTACGATTTCCAGGATGAGTAGCTATTGAAAGTCATGATATTGAGCAGTAACTTGAGTTTGTAAGCGATAGTTGTTCGGAACACAAAGTCTTGCAACTTTGTTCGAAGATCGAATAAATAATAATTCATCATGTTTGATGAACAATGGTTCTGTATCCGACTTTGTCCATGAGTCTTAAAATTTAGAATCATTGGTATAACCTTGATGAAACAGTTTACGAACTTCTAAAGACAGATCGACATACGATGCAGTCATTACTTTAGCAGCTTGATGTGGCCTCATCCCCTCCCGGATCAGAGTTGTCCCAAAAAGTAAAACTCGCAAACGAGAACCATGAGCTTGACAATTACCATCATGATTATGAAAGTCACTGCTAGAAGGAGCAGATTCGTCTGGACGACGCGACAAGGCATCAGCTACGACGTTGAGAGCACCATCGATGTGATGGATCGTAAAAAAATACTGAAGAATAATATTGTCAAATATCCTGCCAATTTTTATGGTATTTTTTGGATGATGAAAAAGCCATGAAAATGCGCTATTATCAGTGAATATTATAATCTGACGACCGTAAAGACAATGACGCCATCGGTCGAGACCATTTTAATAGCAAAAAATTCTTTCTCATGCGCTGACCAATTAACTTCATGAACACCAAGCTTTTAGAAAAGAAAGCAACAGGATGATCATGACCATTTACAAATTGCGAAAGGACACCACCAATACACAACCCTGACGCATCCGTAGTGAGAACAAAAGGGCATGAAAAATTAGGTAAGGTGATAGCAGGTGCAGATTGGAGACCAATCTTAAGAGTAGCAGATACATCATATTGGTATTTATCCCAATGCCAGTGTGTAAAACAATTTGAGAAAACCGGTGGACAATCTCCGATAATATCCAGCTAAACAAGAGAACTTTGAGGTTCCTTGACTGATGATGGAACTGGCCATATAGCAATTGCTTCGGTTTCGGAATTGTCAACGGAAAATCCTTTCCCAGATACAGTATGACCCAAAACGCTAACTTCTTCCGATGCAAATTTACTTGTCCTAATGTTAGCATAAAGCTTTTCGTTGCACAACGTTTCAAACACTGTCTTCAACTGAAATAAATGTTTAGCGTGAGTGTGTGAAAACGCGCAGATATCACCCAAGTAGACGACGACAAAAGGTTATTTTCCGAAAAAAACTCGCATAAGACGTGACAAAGCTCCATGCATTCCTGCAAGACCCATTGGTGCAACACACCGTTGACAGTTTTCTTTACTTGTACAAAATGCGGTTAACCTCTTGCTATTTATATAAATACGCATCTGATGGTACCTTGTGTCAAATTGATCACAGTAAAATAACTATTTGTCAAATGATTCATCAATACGTAGCAAGGGATTCTTTGGAACAATGGTTTTAGAGTTGACATACGGAACATCAATAACCCATCGTAACAATATGTTGGAGTTATCAGAACGAATCAATTCAGAAAAAAGACACTTATTTCTGTCTTCGGATCCTTCTTTGGTATACCAAATATGTCGGAACCCAAGGCGAGTCAGATAATTTAGTCCAATCGCGTGATAGGTTTTCGTCAACAAACCTCTGTAAAGATGGTCGATTCCTTGGCTGACCTCTTGGTTTCATGGTCATTTGAGACTCTACCGAACGATGTGGCGTTAAAGCATCTGGAAATTTCTTGAGATTTTTTTAAAATAAAATCAATTTGAAAAAATACTGGCTTGACCGCATTGCACGTAACACCTGAATCCAGTATAATATTGACAGCACGATCATCAAGTTCTCGATGATTAGATTGTTTCCACTATAGTTTGCAATTTCAGCTTCACTAAGTGTTATGATAGCTTCATGAGACGTTGTAGCTATCGTTTCTTTATTAACAGACTCATTTCGAAATAATTAATATTGGCGCTATTTTGATTATCGTGATAATGGTTGCCTTGTTGTTTGTTCTTCCGCTTACAACATTGTTGCATTGTATGACCGAGTTTCTTGCAATACAAACACTTTGGTTTGTTTGGACAGTGATTTTGATAAAGATTTAAAAACGAGACGACCTTTGAATGGGGCGAGCATGGTCAATTTCCATAGGCTCAGGCTCATTAGGTGGCTAGATCACTGCAGACCAGGACGTGGAAAACGCGGTGTTTAACCTAGATAACCACATAAATTATTTAAATGAGCACGCTCAAAATCGAGCGCGACTGTTACAGCCTTTTTTAAAGTCTCGATACGTAAATATTAAACTTCTTATATTGTTATTTGCTGTAATTCTCTTTGGTTTTTATATGATATGATCGATCTCCGTCATGTCTTTAATTTGCGAAATGAGCTGGCAAATTTTGGCAACGTATTCTGATAAGTCTTTATAGTTCTCTTACTTCAATCGATGCAACTCATCACGTAGACAATATTGCAAGTTCGCTGGCTCAAACGCTTTGTTCAAAGCAACAAAATGCTTCCACCGTATTATTTTAGACTGGTGAAGTACAAATTACTGTGCTGCAGCCTCGCGCAAAATAGCCCCAAGTCCTGCAATCATTTGTTGCGATAAAAAGCACTCTTTCCATTTTGTTCCTTGCACCAAGAAACAATTGTCTATGTTTTTCCAATAAAGATGAACAGACCCTTTACTTTTCCCACTATAAGTTGGCAATTTCAATCCCTCCATGTGAACTAGACTCCAGTTGTTTCTGGCTTAATTAGTTGTTGTTTATCCGTTTAACAGGGTTACACGTACCCTGGTAACAGGTTGTGTGTGTCACGTGAGATGGGCATGGTGTGACTGCACCCAAACAAGAATACGGGATGTGGCTGGGTAACCTGTAGTTTTGCATGTATTTAGATTTTACTTTATCTATCGAGGCAAGTTTATACGATCCGCTAAACTCGTACTTGTTCTAAGTGTAGAACGAAAGGTTGGTATCCTATGTTATGCTCCCTCAAAGCGCAAAGCTACGGCAACCCCGCTGCACTTGGTAGCACTTGAAGTCAATCTACACCTGAGTCGTTTAGACTGACCCTAAATGATGATATAACAATTTTCCTCTTTGTCCCAGGGCATGCAGGACGGACTTAAAAAGCTAATGTCCTTGCTTGACACTGTGGGCGTGCAACACCTTGCTGCGCAAGGCCCCGAATAAATCGGTGGGCATCAAGAGGCGTTTTCAATTTACGAAAACGCGCTACTAGAGCACCTGCAGCAGAAGATGTCTGTATCATTTGCGTCTATGACGCCACCGTCAG